CCAGCTGAACCTGCCTCCAGCCCAGGAAGGCACCGGGAAGCTGCCAGGCACTTTTGGACAGCAACCCCCCGGCACTGACAGCCATGAGCAGCCACATCTGGGGACACCCCTGTGCTCTGGGCACTGCGGGGGCACTCGATGGCACAGAGGGCAGCCGGTCAGTCCAGCAGAGCCGCGTGTGCCCACGCAGGGTGGCCGGGTCCCCGCTGGTGCCGGTCCCTGCCGCGGTGGGTGATGCCTGCGCCGTCGCTAAGGAGCACGTGTAACTGGATCTGGGTTATTTTGGGCTGCTGTCAGGGCTGGGTGCTCAGCACCTCCCACACACACACACCAGCTGCTGCTATTTCGGAGCTGCTGGGCCCCCTCCCCTCCTCTCGCCTCCTCTCCTCCTCCTCAAACCTGAGGTGGGCAGCTGGGCCCTTTGCCTAAGGATCCTTAAATCCTGGGCATCTGGGGGAGCACCATCAGCAGGATGACCCCGCAGGCCCTGTCAGACCCCCACCCTGCTCTGGGGAGGTTCATCCTGCTCCCTATGCAGGGTTGGGAGCAGGACCCCTGGCCTCCCAGCAGTGCCCCCCAGCAGCATCCTGTAGTGCATGCTGGCACCCCTAGAACCCTCTGTGTTCTCGTCTCTCCAGCAAAGAGTGATGACACTTCCTGGTGTCACGCTGCCCATGCCCATCTTTTCCCGGCTCAGGGAGCACCTGGAGCACCTGGAATTGCCAGCCCACGGCACAGGTGCAGCACAGCCAGGGCTGTGCACAGCAAGTGGCTGGGAAGGCACTGCTGGGCACACAGCCCTGTTCTCTGGGCTGGCTGTCACAATGGCTGGGCTTGCACTTTCCCAGGTGGACTTTATCCTGCAAAAACGGCTGTGTCAAAGTCTGGGCTGCGCTTGTGCGGGGTGTCCTGGAGGGGATGGACGGCTGGCATGGATCAGACAGGCAGTGACAGGGCACTGTGCTCCTCCTGCAGCGAGGGGCAGGCCCAGGGCACTGCCATGAGCCAGTGTCCCCAGGGGAGGCAGGGCTGCTGGCCTGACCTGCAATCCTGGGCATGGGGCAAAAGTGTTGCCAGGCAGGGAGATCTTTGAGCTCTGTGCGTTGTCTTGGGCCAGCAGGACAGGGTAGGGCAGCCATGGTTTGTGACCAGGCCCTTGGCCCAGAGAGCTGCTCGGTGCTGCCCATGATGTCACAGCGGGATGGGGCCTCTGCTGGCACCTGAGGGTCCGCTCCACAGGCAGCTCTGTGGCACCATGGCCTCGCTGGGCTGCCCACAGGCATGGCCAGCCCGCCACCCTTCCAGCCCTGTTCCCTCTCTCTGCAGAGCTCCAAGGCCGTGCAGGGGCTGACTGGCCTGCGGAACCTCGGCAACACGGTGAGTGTGTCCCCAGGCCTCCTGCTCACACTGGGAACATCTGTGGGGCAGGGGGAGCCCTGTCCCTTCACCTCGCCCCCCACACCCTCACCCCAGCAGCTCCCTACACTCCTCTCCCCACGGTGCTGCCTGGGGAAGAGCTTCCCCTGCTCCTCATGGTTTCATCCCTGTCCTGTGCCCACCCGCCCCAGGTGTCCCCCTGCCATGGCCTGCCTCCCTCTGCTCCCCGTTGCCATGGTTTTCTCTTCTGCCTCCCCCAGTGCTTCATGAACTCCATCCTGCAGTGCCTGAGCAACACCAAGGAGCTGCGGGATTACTGCCTGCAGAACCAGTACCTGCGGGACCTCAACAACAACAGCCGCATGCGCACGGCGCTCATGTCAGGTAACTGCCCATCCCCGGCCCCTGGTGGCTGCAGGGGCTTCCCTGCAGCAATTCCTGCAGCACATCCCTGCAGCACACCCCTGGGACACCCCACAGCCTGTGGGACCCCCACTCAGAGCTCGATGCTCCTCCTTGGGCTGCCTGGCCCTGGTGGATCAGGCCCTGGGACCCCAGAGCGTGGCCCTGAGCTGTCCCCTTGGAGCCATAGCCGTGCCACCCCGCTGCTGACCTGCCTCTCTACCTGCAGAGTTTGCAAAGCTGATTCAGCTGCTCTGGACCTCGTCCCCCAACGAGAGCGTGAGCCCCTCCGAGTTCAAGACGCAGATCCAGAGATACGCCCCACGCTTCGTCGGCTACAAGTGAGGGGGGTGGGTGCAGGGTGGTGGGGGGAGTCAAGCCCCCCACAGCCTCTCACTGGCCATGCCCCCTGTCTTGCAGCCAGCAGGATGCACAGGAATTCCTGCGGTTCCTGCTGGACGGGCTGCACAGCGAGGTGAACCGTGTGCTGGTGCGGCCCCGGGCCAGCACCGACACCCTGGATCACCTCCCGTAAGTGCTGGCACTGCACAGCCCCACAAGAGTTCACTGCCCGCAAGGCCAGCCCAGGGACAGTGAGCACACGGGTCCCTCTGGGCTGGGTGGCGGGGCTGGTGTCCCTCAGGCCATGCTCAGTGCCCTGCTTGTCCCCATCCTTGCAGTGACGATGAGAAGAGCCGGCAGATGTGGAGGAGGTACCAGGAGAGGGAGGACAGCCGCATCAGCGGTGAGCAGGGCTGGGGGAAGGGAGGACAGGGCTGGGCTGGGAGCAGGGTGGGGAACCAGGGGTCTCACCCTGCTCTGTCCCACCCCACCAGACCTCTTCGTTGGGCAGCTGAAGAGTTCTCTGACCTGCAGTGAGTGCGGCTACTGCTCCACAGCCTTTGACCCCTTCTGGGACCTGTCCCTGCCCATCCCCAAGGTGAGGAAGCCCAGGGATCCCGCTCCCATGCTCCCTGTCCCACACTCCCTGTCCCTAACCATCACTGTACTGCCACAGAAAGGCTACGGGGAGGTGACGCTCATGGATTGCCTCCGGCTCTTCACCAAAGAGGACGTGCTGGATGGGGACGAGAAACCGGTATGGGGCAGGGGGTCCCTGGGGCCCCTTCCCCTCTGTGCTTGTGTTGCCAGGATGTGGGCAGTGCCCTCACCCTCCTGCTTGTGCTGCTTGCCTCCCACAGACGTGTTGTCGCTGCAAAGCCAGGACAAGGTGCACCAAAAAATTCAGCATCCAGAAGTTCCCCAAGATCCTGGTGCTTCGTATCCTTCGGGCAGAGGGACAGGGGCTGTTGTGGGGGGGGAGAGATGGATTATTGCAGGCTCCCCTTTGTCCCTTTGGCTCCTTGACGTGACCCTCCAGACCTGAAGCGTTTCTCTGAGGCCAGGATACGAAGCAGCAAACTCACCACCTTCGTCAACTTCCCGCTGAAGGACCTGGACCTCCGGGAATTCGCCTCGCAGAGCTGCAGTGAGTCCCAGCCCCTGCAAGCCCCTAATCCCAGCCCTGAGCTCGTGGTGACTCCTGGTGTCCCCAGCTGGCGGGGGGCAGAGGCGTGAGGGGTGGGAGGCACGGAATCCACTGCCGGAGCTGGTGGCAGTGTGGGGGGCTCAGCGCTGGCACTTTGTGGGGCAGCAGGGCTGAGCAGCCCCCCTGCTCCCCACAGACCACGCCGTTTACAACCTCTACGCCGTCTCCAACCACTCGGGCACCACCATGGGGGGACACTACACAGCCTACTGCAAGAGCCCTGTGTCCAGCGAGTGGCACAGCTTCAACGACTCCCGGTGAGCCAGGGGTGGGACAGCGAGCAGGGACCCCCTGCTCAGGGCATCCCGTCCCCGCTGCTCACAGCTCTCCTCTCCCCCTCTCTGCAGCGTCACCCCCATGTCCTCGAGCCACGTGCGCAGCAGCGATGCCTACCTGCTCTTCTACGAGCTGGCCAGCCCGTCCTCCCGCATGTAGCCAGCCCTGCCTCCCTGGAGACCCCCCGTGCCACCCCTCAGAGCCGGCTCCGCCGCGGTTCGGGCATTCGGCCCCCCCAGAGCAAGAGGGAGGCGAAGAGGAGACAGCCCCGAGGCAGCTGCAGAGGGAGGCTGGGGACAGCCAGGATCAGAGCCCGGGCAAGGACATCCCAGCTGAGGAGGGACTCATGACAGGACAGGGCTCAGGCAGCTCAGGCGCCTTCTGATTGCTGGCCTTTGGTTTTTACCTCGGGGTTTTAGTTTCTTTTTTTTCCTTTTTTTTCTTTTTTTCTTTCTTTTTTCTTTTTTTCTTTTTTCTTTTTTTTTTTTTTTTTTTTTTTTTTTTTTTTGTGTGTGTAATAAAAATCCTGAGCAACGGACTCTACAAGAATGGGGCCACCTGTCCCATTGACTCAACCAGGACCTCTGCTCCCCTGGGACAGCACCCAGAGCTGGGGACCCAGGAGAGCCTCACACATCCCTCGTGGCCTCTTGCCACTCCTGTATCTGCTTGGCCATCCCAGAAGATTCATGAACTGGTCCCGACCTCCTCCTGGCACTTCCGAACCTCCTGGCAAAGGACTCCAGCCCTCCGGCAGCCTCCGTCCCGTCTCAGGCAGCACATCCCCTGCAGCTGCCCCACACACACTCCTCAAAGCAGCCTGAGCCCAGGCCCAGACTCACGGACAGGAGCAGGAAAACATTTTGTGGAATTTATATGTATTTATAGTGGACTTCGCTTCAGCCTGGAGCCCCCTGCCGCTTCCTGCCTCTCCAGGGACTTGTGCCGGGGGCTGCTCCGGGTAGGTTTTTACCTGCCTCCTCATACGACGGTGCCTTAAACCATTTAGGGGAGCGGGGGCCGTGGGGGTCGCACAGGAACCTGTGCGGGAGAGGGAGGGGAGGACGGTGGCTTTCCGGGACCATCTGCAATCGGGGCTTTTTTTTCTCCCTGTGGTCAGGAGCCCCCCTGGGTACCCGGGGACCCGCCCTGCTGCTCTGTCCTCCAGCTAGCAAATGCCAGTGGCCTTTTTAGCCTTTAATTTATTCTCCTCCCCATCCTGCCTTGCCTGAGGTGCAGCGGGAGGAGACACGGGCACCATCCCAGCCCTCGAGGCAGCTCCATCCAACCCACACCCGGCCGGCTTCGCCCTCGCTGCCCTGCGGGCACGGGCTGAGCGCTGCCACCAGCATCCTGCCCAGCCTGGGGCATCCCAGCGGGGTTCAGGGGGGACAGGATGGGAAAGGGGGGCTGCCCGCGGCAGGAGCTGGGCTGGGGCAGCGATGCTGCTTGGCAGGTGGCTTGTTTACTGTGTAAGCAAGGTGGGTGGGAAGTGTCTCATACAAGGGAGACTCGTGCAGGAATAAATTTGAGCTTGAACAGGGCGTTGGGTGCGTGTGTTTTGTCTCTGGGAAGACACCGGTGGTAACCCAGGAGTGCCCACGGACCGGGAACAGTCGGGGTTCGCCTGGAGCGAGGGAGATGTGGGTGCAGGTGGCAGCGCTTGGAGAGAGAAGGAGCTTTTCCAGCCCCACGGAGCTCCCCCGTGCCCACGCTCTTCCCTCAAAAGCCCTGAACAATGGCCCCTTTCTCCCCTGCTTAGGGCCGGAGACGGGCATTAAGGGGCAGCGGGAATGCAGGTGGCAGAGCCCAGGCACCCAGCGAGGGCAGGAGGGACACGCTCAGCCCAGGGTCCCCCACACAGCCCCGTCAGCGCTGCCCTGAGCACTGAGGAGCCTGGAGGCAGCTCCAAAACCAAGGTCCCGTGTGGGGACCCCACCAGAAGGGTCCCTTGGGGATGGGCTCCCAGCGGGATGGGCGCGAGAACTCATTCCCCTTTAAGACGCCGGTTCTCTGTGCCAGAGTCTGACCTCGGCATCCTCAGCTGAGCTGGATTAACGGGGCGAGGG